CTGCTGAAGTCTAAAGGCCAATATGCCCTACAGTTAAGTGGAAGAAGTGGATTGGTAAGTCATAATGAATGTGTCCTGTTGCAACTCTTCTATATAAAATTGTTCTAGGTGGGAATGTTCAAATTCAATTTGGTCAAATTCTGCTGCATACGGGTAGGGGCTGAAGTGGACACGGGTACCGACAGTGATGGGCGGTCCCAGAAATGGCTGTAATACTCTCTTGGATCTACACCATACTGGGGTACCTGCAGAGAGGTGTGTGTCCATCCCTCAGCCTCTCACCACCATGCTACCTCAGTCCTGACCACAGCTCTCACATTCCTCTTCTCCAGGTCCCAAACTAGGACTCACCCCATCAGTGACAACCTTTCTGACCCATCCTGCTTTCTCCCTGCTCCTACATGCTCAGCTGGAAATCCCCAGTGCAGAGAAAGTCAGGGAGCTACTGCCAAACATGTACTACTTGGAAGCTGTTTGGGTCCCAACCTTCTACACATACCACAGTTTGGAAGTCTTCGGTGGAAACATAAAGATTAACATTCTAATTAAATGACTATCAATACCGCTTAAACAAACATGAACAGCTGTATATCAAAATGCTAAATTCAACAACACAGTCATTCAGTTACTATAATAAATATACCAAGTAATATATTCAACCACTTTACTTACAGGTGAATTAAGGATTTCAGTCCTCTGAAAGTATTTCTTGAAATTGACTTAATGCTGTTGTTCTCTATGAACCTGTAATGGGTCGTAAAGTCATTCTGGTCAAAGCAATGCCTGGAACTTGGAAGCCCACCCACTCTATTCAATAATGCCAGCAAATATATTTTTGTCCACTCACAAATATTCTAGATGAGGAAGGCCCATGAAAGCATCATCACTAATAACATCAAAAGTGTTGGATGTAAACAACCTGCGTAAAGAGATGCAAAACAAAAGACCATTAGGTTATTAGCATCTTTAGAAAATGGTTGCGCAAGCCACAGTAGGCCAGATTTCCACTGCCAGGTTTCATGGTTTTGTCTGCAAGCACTACAGGGTGGTAAAGCTGATATATTGCACCGTAGGATATATCACATCTGGTGCAAAGGGAAGGACCCAACAACTCATTGCTTTGCCTGCTGGGATCATCTGATAAAATTCCATTGACTTCTGTGGGATTTAAACGTGGGTTTATCATGCCAGTAAAACAATGGGATTGTACAAGTGCCACTGGAGAAATACTTGGATGACAATGAAATGTTCAAGTACTACAGAGGTCTAAATTGTGTTGAAGAACACTTACTTTTGATGACAACATAGGGAAAGTGTCCAGATGGTTAGCCAGACATCAGGCTGAATTTGCACCACAGACAGGCAGGAAAATCCCCTTAACTTACGAGTTAAACTTGTGAGCATATTTGACCTGAGGGTACTGAGAAGTTACTGAGAAAAAAATGGAAAATCTCTTAATTTAGTCAGTGTTCAAATCAGAACTATTTTAAAGACCACATTATACCTGCTGGAGCTAGCTCTCAGTGTGCATGTATTTTTCATCCATCCAGCAGTAAAAATACCAGCAGCACATTTATTTTTATGTAAATTTGTAAGCATTAAAAGTGGACTAGCATTGACTTTTCCAGCTTTATTTATGCTTATCAACTATGTTTGCATTTGTCCATTTTAATTCCGCTCTGGACTGCCACACCCTTAATATGGTGAGGCACTGTCAAGTACGATGAACTTAACTTTACCCCAGTGGAATACCAGATGCACAACTATATTTTATTCCATTTGACTTGATGGATAAATAGATTTACACTATGACATCCTTAAGCATTCAGGAATTCAAGATTTCCAAGTATGAATTAATACACTTAATGAGTTAATATCTTATTTTGAAGTTTGCATTAATAAGTTGCAGTTGATTTATTTTCTCACTTGGCTATTGCAGACTGTGCTTCTGCTTTTAGTATGTTCCTATATGTGCATGAAAAATATAAGCAGGAAATTCTTCCTTTTTGTTAGAAACAATGAATACTTCTTTTTTCTTAGAGAAAATAAGTATTTTTGTAAAAATCTCTGAACCAGAAGACCAATTTAGTAAATCTGCTGCCTGCAACTAATTTTACTCTTCTGATGCGATTTCACTGGATAATCTTTCATTTTCTGCATTCTACCCTCCTTGTAATTTAGAGAACAGGGTGGTATCTCTTTAAATAGTATAGCTATTTTAGAGATTGCCAGGCTTATAGCATAGGTCTTGCACTTGGTGAGCTCATTTGTCCCCCATCTCTTACCTCCTCCCCAATGGCTGTATCATGTGTATTTGATGCACAAAGTGGCTTTTCTCCCACTCTCTGACCTCAAACACCACATTTTCTTGATCTGTGACCCACCAGCTAGCTACTTCTGGGGACAGAGGCTGAAGACACTGCACTGTGGCTAGGGACTATCTGGCTTAGCAGAAACTGTATGCTGCTAGCAGGTACGGATCCCAGTGCCATGATTACCTCCCTTCTTTCTACGGGTTTCACGTCATCAGTTTATAAGGGCACCTTCAGCACATTGCTGATACACAGCGTTAGAAGTGCTGGAGATGAGAGCAGGGAGATTTTCTCAACATTTAGGGAACACTCCTGCTGGCACTTCACTATAGCTGTGTAGGTCCTTTTGTATTTTTGTTGTCACATGAAGAGCACGGAGTATACCATCCATACTATTCAAGAAGAAAATAGAGGACTGGCCTGGGACTTACGAGTAGTGTTTAGCACAATGAGACCATGATTTTTCCAGAGACCGCTGCCGCTACTACAGTAAAAATTGTAGTAAATAATAATAGCAGCAGATACATTCCACACTCAGAAATGTGTGACTGGCATACTGGAGATACCAAGATACATTTGGACTTTAAAAATGTAATCCTGGGGACTATTACATAAAAATACATATAGGCTGATAAATCTTGCTATTGGGTTAATTAAACCTACCAATACAGCTATAATCATGCAAAGCTCAAACTTACTGTAATTTTTAATTAACCTGAGTTTTCCATATTCTTATTTCCCTTACTATCTTCTAAAAAAGGTGGAAATTTTTCTTTCCGACGTACAAACTGGAGCATTGGCCCCACAGATACAATCCTACTCCTACGGTCCGTGTTTAAGGAGTCATTTGCCTTAGATCAGCAGCCTGACTTTCCAAAGATGGCAAGCAGCTCAGCTACCATGTTAGAAATATATCTGGAAAACCAATCACTCATTGAAGCCCATAATGGAACAAAATCTGCTTTTCTGGGGTCAGAGCTTTTGTTGCAGCATTTATTAACAGCAGCTTAGAAAATGCATTTCAGTACAGCAGACCATGCAAATTATCACCGTTACCAAAACGCCATAAGCCATTGCCAGACCCCACTGTGCCAGGCACTATAATAACTCAAAATAAGATGACTGTGTCTGTCCTACTCCACCCTACACAATTCTGCCTCCCTGGCAGTGGGATTGCTAAGTGTAGGTGGTGTATCGTAGCCAAGAAAGATGATGCCCTACTCACTCTCTTCAGATACAAGCTCCACCAATGCTGCTATTTCTTTTTTCTTTCCTTTGAAAGACCCATTGCAGGAATTATGAGAAATATGTCCCTTATGTGATCTGTGACCACCTGGGAAAAGCTTCTCAGGAATAAAGCACCATGAAAAAGCATTTAGGTTTCCATAGTAACTGCATTTACCTATTTACCCTGTATCCAAAATTGTACAGTATGTCTGCACCTCCTTATCAGCTCCACTTGAGGTAGCAGAGTACAGCTCGGGTCAGGGCTTCAGCTATCATGCACCAGCAGTTTAATCTAACAGCCGTAGGGCTCCAATACATCAACATTACACCTCTGACCACATCCAGAGTGCAAGGGAAGTCAGGCTGGGACAGACGGCCAATTTTTATTTTGATCTCATCAAGGAGTCTGTCTTGCCGGATTTCTGAGACAAATCTGGGTGTGTGTCAGGCTGGCAGCACAACCACTATAAACAGTTCAGGCTACACCCCCTCTACCTCTGTATAGCTCGCAATTATATAAGCATATGCCCACATTTCTAGGAAAGCCCATGAGCCTGTAAAAATCCTATATAGAAATGCAACTAATATTTAAACATCCCAAAATATTCTCTTTCTCCATATACCTCATTGCAGTATTTGATTTTGAAACAACTGCTTAATTTTTTTTAATTGAAATAAAATCTTAATTACTTTTGGGGGGTTTTTTGTTGTTGTTTTTTTTCAAAGAACATGAAACAACAAACAGGGTCAAGGCGCTACGAAGGCAAAACTCCCACTGAAGTGACTAAACTTCCACAGAAGTCAATGGCAATTTTACATAGAAAGGGACTTCAGGACCTGTCCCACTGCAATGAAGGGCCTGATCTGAGGGGTTCTGAGCTCGCAGTCGATGGGAGTTGCAAATGGGCAGCTTTATATTGGGATCAGGCCCCAGGACTGCAGAAAAGAAACAAGAATAGTTGTTGCAATGCTCAAATCCCTACTGTAATGTTAATTAAAGTATAATAAAGATAGCATATGTTCTGTCACTGAAAGCTTCAGCATGTAAGCATTCAAAGTAGCACCCACAACAGATAGCCTTGCAAAAGACTACTTTGAAAAAAATTAAACATGCACTATCTTTCAAATTGCTAAAAAGTCTTGTATTTTGTTAACTAAAGAATCTTTTCTTGCTGTTTCTTATAAAATTAAAACTGAGAACCTTTCTATAATATTTATGGATACATATACATTTCATAATAAAAAATGTATCATATAAATATTTCTCACAGAAGCTGCAGAGATGGTGTGAGCAAAAAACTCCCTTCTGGGATTTTAGTAAAAGCAGATCTCACAAAGGATCTGGAAAGAAGAAAAAAAACAACCTTATATTAATGTAATCTCATATATCTGTGGTTATAATACTGATGTGAGAGAAATTTATTTACATAAGTAAAAAAAATAAAAAACAAAAAATGAATGTTACAGGTTTCATGTAGTATAGAAGAAGGTATAAAACAGGATATGTGCACATACACAGACAGACAGACAGACAGATGAAAGAGATGTAAAAATCAGGATTCAAGGATGCAGCACAATTTTAACACATTAGCTGAAGATTCTGAATGCTGGAGGTACTCCCTGCAGCAAGCATCCTTCTGTATGCACTGAAAACACCACACATCCTAGTTCATTTTAAATTATAAATTAAATAACCAAATGCTTACAGCCCTTACAGTGAGATAACATCAGGCGGAACGCTGCGAGGAATAGATCTGGCATTTTCACATAAAGCATTATCTTTGGTACAAGTACACCAGGCAGGACATTTTGGCTTCACTGGTTTCTTCCCTTCAGTCAGCAAAAGCACAGATAAAAGGCATAAGAAATAAGCAATTCTTCTAAAGGGTCTGCTGGCATTTCCCATTCTTTTGATCCGCTCTCGTTCCAGCCAGTTGAAAGAATATCCCAAAACATGAACAGGGGTTCTTTATTCAGCCATTGGATGTCTTTCTATAAGTCCAGGTTAATATTTGTCTCTGCTTTCCCAACCCTTTTCTTTCTCTTTCACTCTGTTTTTGTAGACAGAAACCTGCAGCTGATCTGTATGTTTCCACTCACTCAGGCAACGGACTGCTCAGAGAAGAGACCTGCGAGGTGCTGTAAGATGGGGAAAATCCAACCGGCTGAAGGGAAAAAAAAAAAAAAAAAAAAAGAGAGAGAGAGAAAAAAAAAAGACTTGCATCACCACAAAAACACTGAGCACAACACAGCATTAGATTGCAAAGTGATGTAACTGAGAAATACACTGCTTTCTGTTTTCACAGGGAGGCCCTTTCCCTGTTACCAAAAATAGTACAGCATTATGTTTTGCTGGTGGGTGGGTGAGTGGGTGTGGGGTGGAGTGTATGTGTGTGGGGGGAGAAATCAGTCATCTCTTACTGGATCCCTACAACCTCGTGAACCTTTGAGAATTATGCTTCACATATTGCAAGCAGCAGAACTAACAGCAGTATCCACAGGAAAATGAAATCGAGTGAAACCATCAAAAGCATTGCTGCAAAAGCTGTTAGATTAATTTTTATCCTTAGCCATTATTGCACATATTTGTACCACTGAAAAACAAGCTGCCACACATGGAAAATATTACCATGTATGAGAGAATGCCTACAACTGTCATTCCTAAACAAAATATTTTCTCATACAAAATAGACCACAACTGCTTTTTTTTTTTTTTTTTTTTTTTAAAAAAAAAAAAGAATCATTCATATTTGTTACATGTTTTCTGAGCTGGTTAAATAAAGTGGATCAAGCACCGTTCAAAATGGACAACATTAATTAAAAGTTCAAGTGAAAAAATTTATTTGCTTGGAAACTGATTTGATCATTTTGGATAGAAAAAATAAAATTGTTATTTAAACACCAGCTATGTTAAACCTGCTTTGAAAAGTGACAGGGTAGGTACAGATCTTGATGGTAATAATGAATCTTTACAATACTGCCTGGAGGCTGCAATAGTGCTAGGCGCAGTATGAATACTCTGAAAGAAACAATCCTCAGCCTGAAGACTTTACAGTAAACTACATTAAATATTTTATAGAGAACTTAAGCAGCACCTAAGTGTTATTATGTAAAGAATGGTAAGACAAAATTAATGAATGCCAAATAGCTGGAAAGCCATATGGGATTTTTCTTTTTTTTTTTCCAATATAGGATTGCTGTTAGAAGAGTTTTGCAAACTTTAATGGGTCTTGTCACTTCCCCATCAGACTGGCACCTCTGTTTGCGCTACGCAGATCACAGAATCTAGTAGGGTCGGCCCGATGGTACATAAGTTTAATACAGTCATGCTCACTATTGGCTCCTTCACGTAGGTGCTGTCTCCCCACCAGGAGACACCTGTAAGCCAGAAGACCTCTCTTCACTGCCAGTTACGCCTCCTTTGATTCCACATGGCCACCTGGCTCTGGCCCATTGCTCCTGCTCTACAGGCCATGAAATCTCAAGACCAACACTGGGCCATGTCTGTCTTCCTCGGGAATGATGCCAGCAAGGCCCAGTGCATACCCAGACATGGGTGCCCAGTGGGAATTTCAGACGCTCTGCATGGAAGATGGCAAAGGGGTACAACAGCCTGCAAAACTAAGAAACTCGGTGTACAGACACTAGGCAGGACCTCAACACTGCTGAGTCCTTGCCTGGGCTGTGGCTGAGGTCTGTCTCCCTGGCTCAAGAGGAGATCCACAGAGCTCACACCTGGTGGTGGGACTACATCCTCTGAGTGATTGGGGATGACCAGAAATCTCCAGAAAGCTTTCTGAGGCAGAGGACCACCGCTGAAGGCCCTGCCAGGAGAGGACTCTGGTGCCTGTGCACCAGCACGCTCCCCGCCTGGCACCTGTGCCTGCGGAAAAGGGAAGCTTGCGCTTTCTCGGCTCCCTCGCTCCCTGCCGTGTGGTTTTTTTAAAGCTCTTTATTAATTTAAGTGCGAGCCCATGTTTTTGCTCATAAGGAAATCTTCCCTGTCAGCAGTCTCTCCTGAAGCAGGATTGACTTCAACTAGGAGTGACACAGAGCTGCGTTATTGCTGAGCCCTTCCACCTTTTCTAAGAAAATGGCACAGAATTACAATAACCAAAGCACTGAAATCATTACAAAGAAAATGTTGATGCCTTCCCCTGTGTATAAAGGTTACTTTTTGCTCTGGAAACGATCTAATTGTACGATGGAGAAGGGAGCTGGATTTGTGGGACTTGTGTAAGTAGGGTACACTATCTTCTCCCCTCCGAGATGCCCAAAAGCACAGACTTTGGTGGGGTGAGAACAGAAAATTCTCTAACTTTTAGCTGAAAGAGAAGAGGCCTGTTGTTTGTTTGTTTATTCCTGGCAAAGCTACCCATTGCCATGGCAATATTTTGCCACTGATGGTGTAACCCCGTGTTTCATTTCCTTCGGCTCATTCACTGAAATCCACCATCAATTTCTTAGGCATTTCTTTTTAGTTAATACTCCAGCCACACTGTGAACCTTCTGAAAACTTTGCAGTGTCGCAGTTTTTCAGTAACAAAAGCACATTCTGCAGCAGGGCAGTAACCTGACTCTGGTTTTGTCCATGCAGAGAACCGCCTGGAAGTTAGTTTTCTATTCCAAACTACATGCCAAAACAACTCTTTTTCCAAAATTGCAAATATTATGAATATTTATAACAGCTATGTCAAAAGAGAGACATAAATCACATCTTCCAGAGTCTTTCTGCGCCAAGCTCAGTATCTCATTTCTTGACATGTAGTCGTTTAAAAACAAATTGGTTCATGGATTTTCAGTGGAATAAGTGCTCTCCAGCCATCGCAACATTTGGCTCACCCTTTGCCTGTGCCATCACTGTTTCCTGACTAACAGCAGGTGATTGCCTGCTGTGCCCACATCCGAGCTCCTGTCTCTACATCCTTGCTAGGTTGTTTTCACTGGTGTTTCAGGTACTGATTAGGCACAATGGAAATCAAAATTTATTTATTTGTCTTTCAGCAAGGTTTCAGCTGGAGGGATGAGGGAGTCACAGCTCGCGTTACTTGGTCTGCTTCCCATCGTTTCGCGGCGTTTTAGCTGAAAAATCTTCACCTTGCTGTGCAACGGAGGTGCTTGCTGGCAGACATGTTCCGGTACAGGCAGGGATGTACTGTGCTTCTGGCTGACACTGTTGGCTCAGTTTCGGTACCAAGCAGGCCAGTAGGTCCCCCCGACATGGACCTACACGAGACCACCCATACAGCTGCTTTGCTGCCGTGATATTTTGCCTCTTTAATTTTGACCAGAGCTAAGTAAGCCTAAGTGACTTGATTATTTTCCACATATTCATTCTATATGGTAAGAATAAAAGAGCTTATTTCTTCCAGTGTATCCAAACTGTTTGGGAACAACAATTTTTTATAATAATCAACCACCTAATAATCAGTTTAGTGCAGGTATATTACAGATACTTTTGCTAGTTGTCATTGGAGGTGTTCACCACCTACCATTACTCGGGTTCTTTGGTCAGACTTATCACAACTTTTGTAGCTTGGTTTCTAGAGCAAACATGTGCATTTATTATTATTAATATTTACTAAGAATACATTTTTAGCAAGTATTCTCAAATATCTGGTTACAGTCTGAATAATTCTATGAGTAAACCTGTTTGCTAAAATATTTGAGGAAAGCAAACACAGTCAGAACGTAGAGCCAAAAATTATTTTTAAAAATATTTAATACTTTTCTGAGGGATTAACTCTACTCCACTGACTACATTTGCATATTTGCATTAGCCCAATATGTTTTCATTACCAACATACAACAAAATTTTAATAAGCTTCCTGTGGTTTCATGCTGACTACATTTCCCTTTGCAGATACATATACTGTTACAGTTATCTTTTATTTGATCCTGCTTTTAGAAAGTTATGTTGCCTTTTCTATGCTCAGGATGAGCTGCCTAATCCTGATGGCAAGAATTTAATGAACTTTACTGTACTCTGTGTTAAGCCCATAATATTACACCACGTAGATGCGCAATAGTCCGAATCACACCCCAATATTCATGAGTCTCCTAAAGAACAAAACATTGTCATTGCTACGTTACCACTGTGTTTGGAGCAGAAGGATTCTGAGATCAAAGACTCCTACAAACATCTCATGAGTCTGAGTTTTCCATCTCCCAGTGCCACCCCTTTAACGAATTCTGCAGCAAATGGCAAATTTAAAGCAGCTGAGACTGAGGCTGTACTTTCAATAAATAAAACTAAGTCTTGTGAATTCTAAGCAGTTCTGAAAAGAATATGCTTCCTGGTGGATCTGGCATCAAGAGCCATTGCCAGGAAGAGGCCTTCTGCAGGTTAGACATAATAAAACTCGAGATGCCTTTACAACAGCTCATAGCACAGACTAGACTGGGAATGATCACAGGGCTGCCCAGAACTTTTTATTTGGAAAGTTCTTCTGACTTTGCCCTGTCCTGTCTACACAGGTCCGTATTACGGATATCCTTCTTTATTATACCACAAGAGTTTCATTAGAAGCAGACCAACCAGGCCAGTCCCTGTGTCAAAAAGCTGAGAAAACAGCTACTTAATTGCTGCCGACTTTAGAGGAAAGAATGACTCAGAGGGTGGTCTCCTTTCCCTTGCATAAAGTAACCAGTTCACAGTTAGAAGTGATCACCTCTGAAGAGAATCAGGTCTTAGCTCTCATGGCTATCACGATTGCATGGTGGTGCAGAACACCTGCTCCACTGAGCATATCCTGGTGAGTGTGCAGCGGGCTCTAGGACTGCTCGCTGGCTTACCTACAACAGAATTTGACCAATGACAAAAAGTATGTCAGGACAGCATCAGTGTTATTCTTTAAGAAAAGAACTGTCATTCTTTAAGAAAAAGAGATGTGCAATGTATTTCATCCAAAGAGAAACTAGGCAAAATTAATCTATGTTCAGGTTCTATTTCATTACAACCAAGGACTTAGGACATCTTTATGATTCTTGATGCTTTATTTTCAATTGCAGTAATAGTAGAGAATATTAGAAATTACCTCAGAAGGCACTTTAAAGCTATAGCTTTTCTACCCCTTGTGGTTTTCAAAAGGTGCTCTCAGGTTAGGAGGGACCTAGGGAGGACACCTCATCCAACCTCCTGGGTAACCAATAGGGATAAAGGCTAAG